CACCTCGCTCTCGATATAAAATATACACAGAAAAGAGTTTTATGTGTGTAAGAAAAAAAAAGACTCGCTTGAGTGTGTGTTATATATATCTCTCTTATGAGTCTCTCGAGAAAAATATATATATGTAAAAAAAAAAAAAAAAAAAAAAAAATATATATAATAAAATATATATATATATATATATATATATATATATATATATATATATATATATATATATATATATATATATATATATATATATGTATAATGTCTTCCCTAGTCCTATCGACAGTAATTCGTATCCTTACATGAAAAGAGGTCCACTGGAGAAGCAATGCGAAACAAACCTATATGTTTTAGTAGACAAGCTGACTTTATAAACTGTTGCTAAAGAAAAATGTATGTCATCAAGTCGTGAAATATACTAAGAACTACCAGTTCAAATTTGTTCGTGTACACACGCAGGACGCCCAATTTGAACAAAATCCCGCTTATGTCGATTTGTTAGGAACTTAAACATCCGATAAAACGCTATAAGGACAACGGAACAACTCACTCGCAGTAAGCCACCTGAAGAACTTATCACGATTTAGTATATTTATTAAGACATAAAAAATTGGCATCGGCTCGCCCTACAGAAATGTACTTGGCGTTTGAAATCGGATATTTATTTTCTTCCGGTTTGGCCTACTGTCGATCCACACGTATCCGGTGAAAACGGTCACCGCGAAAAAGCATCTTTTCAAAAACGCTTTCCGATCCAGAGTGGGAATTTTTGAAATTACAAATTAGAACAATCAGTTAGAAACTATCAAGGCCAGGGCCGTTCTACACCTACATACTTGCTTACATGCAACTAAGACCCAACTTAAAGTCTAATTATTTGTACCTTTTGGTGGACCCTGTTTTCTGTTAATAACACCTGCAAGAAAACAATGAAATGAAGACAGATACAGATTTCTTGTTTTTGATGTTTTTTTTTTTCAAGTTATTGTTTCTATACAAAAAAAATGTATGTTGTTTAACATGACACTATGTATTTTGCCTTTGATCAATGGAAAACTCCTATCAGTATGTAATTTAAAAAAAAGATTCCATTAAAAGAGACATTTTCTATAATTCACAGTTACTGTTAAGTAATAACTACTGACTAACATCGGGGTACAATCATAATGGTACTAATGGGAACAACGACTCAAATTTTAGTTTTATTGCCTTACTCCTGTCTGGTGAGATTTCAAAAATGTAGTTAACGTTTTTTTATCACACAGGCCTAGACATATAGCGTCATTAACGTCAGAGGAGGCACCGCTCAGCTTTTAACTCATTTATGGACCACGCTCTCACTCTTAACGTCACCATGGCAACTTACTTGCTGGTATGTCAAATCTGTTGGGAATAAAGTTCCGAGAGTCTCCAGGAAGCTGTTCCCTTCTTGAATCGGGAGGGACTGGGGGATAGTGCCCACCTTGGGATTAAAGGAAAATGTTAACTCTCTTACACACCTGTAGATGTCTTTAGACGATAATTGGCTTTATCATAGATTCAATCATTGGTTTTAAGTTTTTCTTCCTACTCGGTAAAAAATCTTACCTCTTACACCGCCAATTCTATTTAGGACGAAGTTGCGAATTTGTCCGTTAACTGTATTCAAGGCTGGTCGACGGAATTGAAATTGTGTCTGTGGATCTTTGAAGAAAAAAAAAGGGTTTTTATAAAGATTGATGACATAAAAACCAGCTATTTATGTTTAATCTCGTGTTAAGATAAACCTGAATTCTTTCAGTCTTATTTTTTACTGTTGTGGCAATGGTTTTTTAAAAACCTTCGTTCGAATGCCATTGAGGAATCGGTACGGTGTTAGTTTTA